AAAGAAAAAAGAAAAGAAAAGAAAAGAAAAAAGAAAAGAAAAGAAAAAAGAAAAGAAAAGAAAAAAGAAAAGAAAAGAAAAGAACAGAAAAGAACGAACGAACGAACGAACGAACGATAGATAGATAGATAGATATAGACAGATAGATGGATAGGCAAAAAAGCCAAAAGCCACAAAAGCCGCAGAAGCCACGAAAGCCAAAAGCCACAGAAGCCACGAAAGCCAAAAACCACAAAAGCCAGAGACCACAGAAGCCAGAAGCCACGAAAAACAAAAAAAACACACCAGAAAACAAAAAAATCCAAAATTAAATGGCCCTTCATATCGAATCCACGAAGGACCAGAGGACCAAGGGACTAGCGGACCAGTGGACCAGCGGACTGTAGGGGACCAGCGGACCAGCAGACCAGAGGACCAGGGGACCAGCGGACCAGAGGACCGGCCACCTACACGACTGGGAATTCCAGGGATTTCATCGCACAACGAATATTTTTTTTGATTCAGTAAATATTTTTTTTCCAATACCTATGCCTATGCCCGCTTGAAGGGTCGGCCCTCGGAAACCACCGGCCGTCCTTGACCCAGTGGTGGAACTCGGTCAACAAAGTCCTGAGAGCATGGAGAAAGCTTCAACCTTTAATCATTGATACCAACAGTGGCAAACACTCCAAGCACAAATGACCTCCACGACCTCCTCACCAAGACCCCCCCGCAGCCCCGACCCGCGCCGCGGGACGCGTCACGACCCGCGAAGGACTTGCAGCGGCAGCGGCAGCTGAGCGAGGCGTCCCGGCGGGCCATGTCGATCGACTACTGCCGAGAACAAGGCCGGAAAGATCGAAGGACGGGGTGTTGGTGTTGGTGTTGGTGGGGGGAGCACAACAAGCAAGGACAAGTGGGTGGAGACATTTTTGTACGAAAGTGGGTGGGAGACGGAGAAGAGTGATACTGTAAAGGGCATTTGTTCTCACTTTCATTGGTCAGAAGAAGAACTTAGAGAAAGAATAAGAAGAAGAGGAAGAAGAAGGAAGGAAGAGAGAAAAGAAAAAAATAACGAAAAACAAATAAAGACAGAAAGAAAGACAGACAGACAGACAGAAAGGAAGGAAGGAAACAAAAACAGAAGGACAGAACAGAAAGAAACAAGCAAAGACAGACATAAAAGAAATAATTTTTAAAAAAGAAAACAAGAAACAATGAGTAGATTACAGATACACTATATGGATAGTTTGGTCTTCTCCGATCTTGCAGAAAACGCGTTACATATGAGGGATGTCAGGTGTTTCCTCCTCCAACAAGGTTGTTAAACATCTCAGGAAAGGGCGGTATGCTGCAAAGAAAAACCCGTGATCTTGTGGATGTTTGTAGGAAACATATTGGGGCAAACGAGATCAAAAACACTGGTTGATTTGGTGGTTCATTGATTCTTTCAGAGCATTTCCATCCTGCCTATGCTCCAAGATTGCTCCCTGCCACCACATCAAGACTTGCAGTTCAAAGCCAAAGATCACATCCGAATCCATCATCCCAGTTGCTTGCCTCTTCCCCCTGGTCCAAAATGAGCCCCACCCTCTCCTTTTTCTTGGGACGAACGACCCAACGACCTGACCCAAAAACCGAGCGCCGAAGCCAGCCGCCGGCGCCAGCGGCCGAAAAACCGAGGCAGTAATGCCATGATGCGCTGGCTCCGCGGCACGCCCATCGACGTGAATTACGACTTCCGCCGCTGGCGCAAGCATCAGGTGGAGCAGCCCGGCCCGAGCGCGGGGGACGAGTCCAGCCGTTGAGCCTCCGGTTTCAGCGTCAAAAAGAGTCCCCCATGGATTTGGGACCTTTTGAACGAGGTTGACCCGCCTCCGACACCAGGAAACCCACCCAGCCAAGCAGCTGGGGAACGCTCAACCCCCGTCCTCGCCCATGGTGGATCTGCCGTGGATCTGCCAGGTGGCCACGCGCCATATCCTTCTTTGGTCGCCGCGCAATGCCTTGAGGCCGCCACGATCCGGTGCGTTGTTTTGAGGGTTCGAGGGGAAGGGCCGCCACGGCGGTCCGTCCGGTCTGCTTGATTCCGGAGGCAATAGGTGAAGCAAGAGGACCCTGTAGCCCACTAGTCTTACAAGAGATATGACACACTTCAAGACCTCAAGAACAAATGGAAGAGATGGAAGGCTCTTTCGCTCTCCGTAAGTTTCGAGTGGCTGCATTCACTTGTTCATCTCCATTTTTCGGGTCAGCCACCCTCATTCCCTATGCTCCAATTGCCGTGGACTGCACAGCCTCGACTTCCCAGCTCGGACCGAGGTGGGATTTGCTGCGACGACTTCTCTTCCCGGACCTGGCCTGGCTTGGGCTGAACAGCAGCCTCCTATGCCTCTACAATGTGCCACCGGGCTTGTTCGTGTCGCGGGGGGCCCTTTTTTTGTGCGACACGTCGTGAGGTGGGCCAATTCTTGACCCCTTGGTTGGAAAGAGGGCGGAAAAAGGGTTGGAAAGGTCTGGAACACGTGGACAAGTTGTTGGGATAAGCAGGGACACACCTCTATATCTATTTGTGGGGCACTGAGGTCGACTCTGGGTGCACCAGTTGCAACCCGCCCACAGGTCAGGAAAAGCGCCATCCCTCCTTTTGACCAGTCTTGAGGTGGGGGATGGTGCCATTTTCTCACATCCTCCGACGGCGTGGCCCATCTCACTGGAGCGGCGCGGCCTGAGTTCCGAAGACGGCCCACATCTGCCCACACAAGGGTACATGAATCCATGGGTTCCATGGGTTCCCTCGGGGAGAGTGAACTGGCACCGTTCTACTGAACCAGGCCCTAGAGATGTCATGGAGAATCACGAGCCGTTCTCACATGGTTGATCACCGTTTGGAGACGACTTGAAAGACGACATTTTCCATCGGTGACCCCACCTGATCGTGCTTTTCGACCTGGAGTCCTCGTCTATGAAAACAGGTCCAGGGGGTGCAGGCGGGGCGGTCCGCCTGCAGGCAAAGGTGGGAAAGATGCGACGCTTCTGATTGATCTGGACTCTTTGGGGGACGAGTTCGCCCCGCGGCGTCTCCACATCAACCGGTCTGGCTTGGTAGTGGTCTGGATATCGACAATCAGTGTGAAAGGGACCATAGGGTACCAATCACGCAGCTTGCAGCCAGGTACATTTGATGGCCACGGCTTCACCAATACTCTCAGTGCCCTTAGTGCCTTTGCCAGCAGATGTTATTACTGCGCTCTCACAGACAAACAGCATTCGAAGAGACCAATGGGAAACAACATCTTGGGCGAAAGAGCGTTGTTGAACAATCACCGCTACCGGATCATTCTTGCTTCAAGCACGGTGCCTTTTGTGACGTTCAAATTGACCACCAAACGACTTGCGCCACCTTTCCAGATGATAGTGCTGATTAAACTCCAGTGCGTCCTGTACCTGAACTGAGTATCCTCCTTTAGTAGCTATCTTTTGGATTTGGTTCCTGACATCCCTTTGCTTGCACCCCGCAAAACGCCTCCTTCTCTTCGGCTCCATCCAATGCTCGCCTCGGCCCTCTCAGGTGACGGTGACCATGCCCTCCTTCGCCTTGGGTCTACTGATCACCTTCAAGACGCAGAGTGGGTCGGGAGGCGAAGAAAGGTGGGAACGAAAGAAGTGGAATGGTCAAGCCGGTGAAGCAAGGTGAAGGAGAAGCAAGGGGTAGAAGATCACTGTTCAGATGGGCCTCTGAGGTGGCACATTGTGCCTCCAGCGGCTTTTTCAGTGGGTTTTTGAGGGTCTTGCAAGCATGCACATTCTGATGTTGCAGACAGGGACACACCAGAGGATTTTGGTTACCAATTTGGGTATGGTTTAATCATCACTCCTGGCTTGGTCCTCGGTGGACCTTCTAATGAAGGTGTAGTTTTTAGGAACGCCACATGGAAGAAACGCCCGGCATGTGGAGTAGGACGCTTGTCAACCCTGCTAACAAACCACGATTTGTCTCAGTGGCTCTTCCAATTCTAGCACTTGGACACACAGAGATCCAGATTTGCTTTGAGCCCAGTTTGTTCGAGACTTGCGGAAGCTGAGGTATGAGCGCTTCATTGAAGGGCGGACGTTGTGGGAACATCTTCTGAGAGAGCACTGGCAGCAACTGGTGTGGCGACTGGCGGGTTGTCTGACGGTAGTTTCGGACATAGATTTTTGATACTGATTGAGTTAAAGAGAAGGGGGAAGCTTGAATTGTGCTGAAACTCGGCGCGGTCGCTAGCAGCTCAGAGGTTGCCTGTTGAAAAGGCATTGGCCATTTCTGACCCTTGACTTGATAGACTGGATAGACCGGATGCTCATCCTATCCAAAGGCTGTCAGACCGACCTCCACCTTGGTCGCGACCGAAGGCTCCGGCCTGTTTGGCCACCGACCTTTCAAAATCATTCAAAAGCCCCTTGTTGCGTTCGTAGCTTCTAGCTCGTAGCTTTCAAAAAGCCGCTTCGGAAGCTGAGTGAAGCTTCGAAGCTGTCGTCTCCTTCTCGAAATGACTGACGCAGTCGCTCGCGAGTTGAACCGACGCCACCGACACGACCACGACAGAACCGACGCCGCTGGTGAGCCGCTTACGACGTGAGACGCAGGTTGACTCCACCCTCCGTCCTTTTTCGCTTTTGTTTTCTCAAAAACTCCGGAGAGGAAACGTCTGAGGAGGAGAAGGAATCTTCTGTCGGAGAAGTGCTCTGTGCGGTAGAGTTTTAAATCACTTTTGGATCTATTTTAGATCCTCACTCTCGAAGTCCAGACAAAGGCCATTTGGAAGAGTGATTTCCGTGGGATCCGTTCCAGGAGAGCCGGGCCCTTTGTAGCCGCATCTTGCTGCGGGTGCCCAGCAGCAACGGGACCTTGTGCACGCCGGTCTTCGAAGCGTTTCTGGGCGGACCAATCGGCTTTTTCGGATGGCCTTTCGGATCGGGGAATGGGGAAGTCCCTTTGAGGATTCGTTCTTGGACCTGAGCCCCAAACAAGCCACAAACAAGGGGAAGTCTGGGCCAAGACAAGCACCTTAGAAGCTTCTGTGGCGACATGATTGGAATTGACCTTCCCAGAAAGAAAACACATTGGTTTGAGCTACAAGTGTTTGCTGTGAAGGTCAGTACATGCCTCCACTCCCATTGGGGACCACTCCAGACTCCAAGCGCTCCCATGTGGATCCCGCCTCCCGGTGACGAAGGGTCCCATTTGTTGGAAGAAAAGGGACCACTTTGAAGCCACTTGGCCCAACTACACCATGTTGCCTCAAAAGTGGTTCCGAAATCGAGCCAATTTCTAACCGGCTTCCAAGGGGTGACCAATGGACAACCCTTCACTGCTTATAGGTCATGATATACCACACCCAAACAGGAAGCGCTTTTTGTTAAAGCAATGTTTCACTTGACTCAGGAGCCTCAAGAGCTCCTGGAATCCCGAACCCTTGGGGTCGTTTGGCGTCTCCGAGGCAGCGCAGGGCGGTGAAGCTCGTGACCTGCTTTCCCGTGGCCTTGAAGTATCACCTCACTGAGGAGTGTGGGGAGAATCGGTGTGGGCCACGCGGGGAGATGGGATATAGGCATAGGCGCAACGCGTTGCGTAGGCACCGGTTCATAGGGTGCCTTTTTTTGGGGGGGGGATGAAAGAGGGCCTGACAGTCTTCTGGGAGGTAGAAAGCACCGAGAGTTGACTATCATATGAAGAAAGGTTCTTCAAGGCTACCAGTGGGTGTGGATCTGTGTGGATGAGACTCCATTTTTGAGCCAGAGCACGGAACACCTATGAAAGAAATGCGAGAGCGCGTGGGTGAAGGACGGAGGGAGGCCGCAGGGAGGCCGCACCCCCGAGCGAGGCTTCGGTGTGCTGGGAAATCGGTTTGTCAGGAACATCTCGGAAGCGACCGCTTTTCCTTCGCGCAGTAGAGATAGTAATGATATGCAAAACGTCCCTTTCTGGTCCCCGAAAAGAGAAAACATCGTGACTGCAGGATGTCGGTGGTGACATGACATCTGAAGCAACCATTCAGCTTGGCCCAGATTCAGTTGAGCAGGCAGAGACTGGGCGTTCTGGCGCGCCAGGATGGGTGCAATCCCCACATTCAGCTAGGCGGCTTGGCTGCTCTTCGGGTGACCGTGGACCATGATAAAAGGCCTTTTCATGCCCTTTCCAAGGCCAATTCCTTTTGAAAACAGGTCTACCTTCCTCCCAAAAGGCCATATGGGGAAAGTACATGTATACATAGACCTTCACAGTAATGCCGCGTGAACCTAAGATCCTCAGAATTGTGCGGGTGCAACTTGAAACCTCGTGAATGCTGCTATGATCATGAGACACATCGTGTTTGTGCAACATATTTTGGGTTTCCAAGGCCAAGGCCAATCTTTGGCTTCAATCAAACTCAAAAAAAGAGGTTCAATGCACACAGGGACATTGAAAAAGAGGTTTTTCTGTTGTTGATTCAGTTTGTGGTGATCGATCTCCGAATGCTGCCTCCAAAGACCGTGCCAAAAAAGTCGCTATTCACCGTTTTTCATGTGTTCTAGACCAGTTTGGGTGCAACTGGTAATCCGTACTCAACTCGTACTTACGTCGGGAATCTCGGGTTTGGGGGACGGGTACAGGTACCAAGACTTCGGGTTGAGGTATCCCCCACAGGCCCTTCCCACGCTGTTTTGTTCATGTTTTTTTGCAAGTCCTTGGCGGTAGTTATGAGAGCTCCTCACAGCAATGAAGCCACCACCCAAGGGACCATGATGAACATCTTTGGCCAGTGGAAAACAGTGCTAGTGAGGTTTTTGCCCACCTCGGGTTTGGATTGGACACTTCGGCCCTTGGATTTCTTCTGCCTTTTATTCTAACGCTACATGCAATTGGACCCCTGTTTTGATAGGAAAAGATGGTCTTTTCGTGGTTGGCGGTCTAAAATAGAAGTAACTCAGGGTCTAGGAGTCTAGGTCAAGGTGTATTGAACTATATACAATATTTAGTTGATATATAGAATACCATGTTTCTATCCTGGTTTGCCATTCACCATGAGAATCATGAGAGAGGTATTTGGGTTCAGGATCAGAATCGGGTGCATCCCCAGTCATCGATTGACAGGTTGGAAACATGGACCAAGTCACCAGTAGACTTCGTGAGGGCTCGAAGATGTTCGCCAACGGCCCTAGACCTTTGCCTAGACTCCTGAGCCAACGAGCAGAACTGACGCTGATCTGCCATGATCCTCCGATCTGTTTTCCTTTTTAGTAGTGGGGGTGTCGCCTACCTCATGGCATCTCCTGTCTGCTTCTACGAACCTTGGGGCTGTTTCTGGCCATGTATGGCCCCCCGACGTATGCTCGAAGCTGTCTTCCACTCCTGTCTGCATTCGGAATGCAGCGCTCCGACCAAAAGGGATGGCACCACTGGCGCCCACCTTGCGAGCGGTTTTCAGACCAACCAGGTCACCGCTCTTCTCAGACCTCGTCTCGCGTGGGGCCGAACAGAGAGAGGAAGACCCTGCACGGCTCGCCAGGTGATCGTGCTCGGGAGGAGGAGGTGCAACGCGCCACGACGCGTGCCTTCCAGGTGGGCGAAGCGACGCGAGAAGGGGCGGCTGGGTCCAGGAGGAGAGAGGTGGAAGATCTAAGAGGACCAACGTCCAAGCATTTAAGGTGAGTTTGGTCAGTTCAGTTGTGTGGGACAGGGTCATGGAGCTGGAGGATTCTGCGAGTTTGGCACTTGGGAATTGCTGCGGTATCATCTTGAAGTTCCAAGTCGTGATATATGGCATGGGCAGTTCAGCCGAGCTGGTCTGAGATGGGACGTGCACTCTGGAATCCAGCCGGTTTGTTGAGCAACACGTGGCAATCCGACCCTCGACATCGCAACTTTCAAAGGTTCGAGGAGACCGAACATGGTTTTTGATACGTCTGGTTCTTCGCCCTCTAACAGCTGCCAGGCGAAGAAACGCATTTCTGCTACCACCAAACCAAACGAGTTTTATTTGAGGTCATGATTCACTGAGGATGCAGTAGGTAGTTTACATGGATCGTCTTCCAATCTGAGCCCCCCAGTGTGGAGCCCAGAATTCTCGATGTGGCCGACAGAAAGAGTTGAATCGTCCTTCTGCAGCTTGCCAGCTTGAATCCGCTACAAAAAGAACGAACCTGAAACAGCTGCAACCCGGCACGTCTCTTCCAGGCGGAGTTGGGACGGATTTGGGACATGACCTGCCCGGAAGAGCGCGCGATCGTGGTGCCTCCGACTGCAGCGAGTGACAGCGAGCGGTTTTCCTTGGAAGCGGAGTGATCGCTGAGGGCCGCCTCCGCTGAAGGTTGACACCGGGGTTTGACCACCAAGCGGTGTCATTTTCTGTGACACTGAGATTCTGAGTGGATAGCAGTGGTTGCAGATGAGAAACCAGCGTTTTCTGCATTTTTACTGGGTGCCAGGGACGCTGTTGTTCTCGGCCAGTGTAGGGGGTCTGGATACCAAGGCACTGGCGAACTGGGCGCTGCCCCAACAATTAGTGCTTTGCATGTAAGACTCCAAAGGAATTTGTATTCTTTCGCGGCTCCCTGCCGGGAAGAGGCTTGGACGATGTGACACCAGGTGACACCTCCCTTATCTTCCCAGAGCTGAGCGCAGTTGACAGTGCAAGAAGCATATTGAAGAAGCAGCATGGACATAAATGACCAAAAGGGAGGGAAGCTTCATGTTTTCTATCCAGGAATATCCGGAATGCTGTACCAAGTTTGAAGAGGCAAGAAAGTGTGTTTTTTCCCCAGATAGTGACAGCTATGGGGTTCTTACTTCAAATAACAATGAGCTGGCTGTGCACGCTTTTGAGACAGGGTGCCGGAGCCGGGCGCTGGTGCTGGCTGTGGTGCTGGTGCTGGGTGCTGTGAGCTGGATGTGCGCGTGGTGGAGACCGGGTGCCGGTGCCGGGTGCTGGTGCTGGGTGCTGTGAGCTGGTGTGCCGGTGCCGGGCGCTGGTGCTGGCTGTGCGTGTAGTGGCGACACGCCACGCTGTACTGTGGTGTGTTTTCCACTTCAAACAAGGTTCCTGTGTGTACTTTGGAGCTGCTGCCAATGTAGAGCGCAGTCCAGTCCATGCTGGTGTAATTTTTTTTCCTGGAGAGTACAAGGAGCCTTTATTTCTTTTCTCAGATGAATATGAGAAATGCGGTACCAGGACCTTCCCTCCTCAGCTACCTCCCAAAACGGTCACCTTTGTAAGCTACGTGGGATTTCTTTCTTCGGCCTCGACTCGGTCCGCGAAGCTCGAAGCGCGTCGGCGTGGTCTCGGCAACGGATGACCCCCGTGAGGATCGGATCCTGACGAGCGCGGCGAATCGGCCGCTGCAGATCTTGCATGAGCTCCAGCATTTGAATAGCTCTGAGACTTGGTCCAAGACCATCCGCGAGGGGGGCCTTAAAGGGGTGAGTGTTTGGCGAAGACGAAGGGGCCGAAGGGGCCTGCTGCGGCCCGGCGGCCGAAATCAACCTCATTTAAGTGACTTAAGCCTCATATTGTAAAGCTAGGCGCAGCTTTGTGGAGCGAATTTTCGTGAGCATGCTTATTCTTTTGATGCAGTTTTCCGCTAGAGAAATCATCTCAGTAGTGCCTTGCCGTATTTGAGACATTGACCAGAGTCTTATAGTCTTGTGATCAGTTGAGGAGACATGCTTTCACCAGCACGCTCAGCGATGGAATTGGAGGCCTTTTTGGCCTCCAAATGGGATGTGCCATGGGGGTTTGTCTGAAGATAAGGACCCCCCAGTTTCCCGCTTGATCCCACTTTCGCTAGACGACGGCCAACCCTTCGGAGAATGGCTGAGGTCTTCTCGGTGGCCAAGTTAGGCGGCTTGGACCCGCCTGCCGCCAATGAGCTGGATCGCAGCATTATGAAGTTGCACAACGTGCCCCTAGGCGTGTGACCACATGTGACCACCGCGCGGGTTTGAGAAAGACATTGGGAGGGTCCAGCTATGTCAAGTTCAGTTCCGAAGAATGTGGTGGAGGGTGTCATGCAGAAAATGGGAGAAGGAAGCAAGGTAGCGGCGTCATTAATGACCCCGCTGTTTTTTAGTATTCCAAACATGAACACTCCACGAAAACGATGTCTTTAATGGTTTGCGAACTGCGTTTCGACTGTTATTTGCAGGAGAACGAACAATTTTGTCAGAATTCCATTGTGTAAAATGTTTCGCTCCGAGCAAAAAAAGAAAATGGTCACCAACATAAATTTTAAGTACTTCAAGAAGGAGCGGATCAGCAGTGGAACTTTCACTCCAGGTTTTCAACAAGCTATCAAGATACCAGGGGTCTACCTCAAACCATGATTGCAATGATTTGGGGAGCTGATGCACCCCTGTCCACCACCCTAACCTCAACACAACGAAAGCCGAAGCTAAAGCGGAAACAACAAAACTGCGTCCGGATCAACGACGAAAAAACACATCTCAGTGAGGCATGTTGACCCAAAACGGTCCAGCCACCAAATATCCCAGCACTCCATGTAAGGAATGTTTGCCTACATTGACTCCTGAAACCATTCCAATGTAGGTCAATATGCCATACATGGAGTGTTTGGGAAATGTTAAGGGGTTAGCCAAAAGATTTGAAATGGCACGCTGGATGGGCGTTGATGATGTGCTGTATGCTTATCCACGCATGGCCATAGAAGACTTATAAAATCTAAGGTTAGACTTGAAAAAATCCAGACGGGTTTGAAACACGCATGTGTGCAAGAAAACATGTGTGCGCAACACAGCACGCTTCGTGTATACATATTGGTGTGCAGAGCGCAGAAGAGTTTCCTTCGTACGGGTGTGGAGTTTGAACCGAACGTTAACATCCCACCCCACCCCACCCCTCCCCACTCTCAGTCACTCGTATTGTGTACGTAGCGTTGAAAGGTTTCGGCTGTATGGGTGTGCAATCTGAACCGAACGTTAACATCCCAACCCCCCCCCCACATGCTATGATGTGCATGACGGACACGTCAAAAAGACCTGTAAATACCGCCCGAAACTATGCAAACCCTCAAAAACAGCGGGGTCGTTACGCCGCCAGCGGAAACAAGATGGGCACAATCCCCGCAAGGGGGTTCTATGTGGATGTTGAATGATTTTCGTGCAAATACCTTGGCCATCTTTTTTTTTAAAGCCGGTCCTCTGGCTCTGATCACTGGGATGGGGATGAACTATGAGGAACTTCACATTCTGGCGAGCAACAACTGGTCTCATGTTGGTTGGCCGAATCTAGTGTAAGTCAGTATAGGAATGTCTTGATCTCTCAGTAAGTCGAGTAAGGTTTTGATCCAGACCAGGCAGACTTGCAGGCGGGACATGACTATTAATTGTTTGGACTTGAACATCTCCGCAGGGCTCCAGTTTTGGGTATGATATGCTGAACAATAAACCGGCCAATATTGAGGTTCATCAAGCCAAACGTCGTTGTTTCGCGCGACCAAGCCTCATGTCATTTGGATGAGACAATTCAAAAACCCATCAAAAACCCATCAAAAACCTCGGGTGAAAAAGTGCCCTGCCAAGCTCAGATGCCAGCCAGATCCATCTTCTCGAAGCAAGAAACACCTCAGGTTGGGTGCCTGCGAGAAGATCTTGCGCACGCCCATCTACACGCCCTACACGCGGTTTACCAGTCGTCCCTGGGGGCGGTTCACAGCGGTTCGTGCCGGGTTCGTTTGGTGGGTCCACTTGTTTTTTTTTAAACGATTGAGTGGATGGTGGATGACAGTTTCAGAAGTCGATGGCATGAAGTTACCCAAGAGGCCCATTTGTCGACATTGAACCTCTGGTGCCGGGGTGCCATCGACCATCGAACCTCAGAAAGCACTGCAATACTTGGAGTCTCTGTTTGTGACCATTTACAGGACTCTTGGTGCATCCTGGGATCTCATCACTTAGGTAACTTCTGCTTGGTCCCGGGTACTTGAGGGGTTGTGAATCAACGGTCAGCATGACTTTTCTTCCGCAACTGCTTTGCTGTTTGGCTTCTTGATTCATGCAAGTGCCCTACACCCCCTTCACTCCCACTGGTCGCCCGAAAAAGAGCCTCCCACACTGGGTGGCTCTTGCGAAAGGCTTTTCTGATGTTTTCTGTCTTTCTCTCTCAGATCGTCCTACTTCCTTCCGTCGACGGCGGAGGGTTCTCCGCGGAGAAAATCCGCCCGCGGCGACGCAACCGAGGCTTTCTGTTTGTGTGGTGCAATGCCCTGCCGGTGGCCATGTTTCCCTTGCTCGGCCCGGCGGGGGACTTGGAGGCGAAGGTCGAGTGAAAGTAGTAGTATGTAGTATGTAGTATGTAGTATGTAGTATGTAGTATGTAGTATGTAGTATGTAGTATGTAGTATGTAGTA